AGAGACAGATGAAACACATCAAGAAGGGGTGTTTCAGGCAGACAAATGATTGATTGCCTTGTGCTGCCGAGGAACGGTGATGCTGATCAGAGCTGTGTTCTCTGAGCCAGAGTTGGAAAGTGGGCTCACAGGGTGGTTGCTCCATGTCACGGCAGAGCAAGGAGAAGGAAGTGGTATGGAGGGCTTGAGACTCCTTGGTGTGATGAGATGAAATGGTCACCTATCAGAGCCCAGGGCCATGGGCTTGGCCCTTCACTTCTGGATGCAAGGGGAGGCTGGAGACAGGCAGCATGGCATGGAGATGGCTGGGAAGTGGCATGGAGGGCTTGACACTCACTAAGAAAAGATGAGATACTCACCTGTTGGAGCCCAGGGCCACAGGGGAAGGACCGTCAGTTCCAGAAGGAGGTGGAATGATCATAGTCCTGCTAAGAGAGAAGGACCATATCGTATAGTTAAAGTGCCCTGGATGGATTTCTGATGATGATGTAATGGGGATTGACCAGTAAGAGCCCAGTCTTGGGAGCACGGGTATGTTTGGGGAGCCTGTTTGTTGGAACACACAGCAAAAGGCTTGCTCTTCCGCTTTGTAGAATGCAGGTTGGCATTCTACAGCTGCTTCTGGTCTGCTTCCTTGGTGCTTTTTTGATTGGCTGCTGAGCCAGAAATGAGTGTGCATACAAAAGATTCCCATGGAGGCAACTCCACCTCTTCCCTGCCTGGCTGCATTTGAGTCAGAAACTGTAAATGAGATTGCTGCAGGCCTCCAGGTGAGCAGAGCAGACCTGTGTGAGCTCTCCCCTTCCCTCCCCCCAGGTTGACATGAATCCATGAGCACATGGTCCTGCTCTTGTTTCTGTCCCCATCTGTCCTGTCTTAAGTGTTAGAAACGGAATGGACAAGCTTGGCACCATGTGAGCTTCAGAGGTCAGGAGAGAACCAGAGGTTTGGCAACTGGAGTCCATACCAGAGTCTGAGGGCAGCCAGGGCCAATAAGAAGGGTGGCATGAAGTGGCCTCCTTGACCCAGCCCAGCAACAGTGACCAGAAGCTGGTTCCTGCAAGTAAGGGAGAAACCCTGTCCATCAGCTGTGCCAACTTTGGAAGAGAACTTGACATGTCAAATGCTTTCAGTCTGAGTCAGCCTCCCCAGGGACCAAGGAGGTCTAGGGTAGAGTGTGCCCCTGGTTCAGGGGATTATGTTTATACTTCAGTTCTTAGTCAATATGCCTTTTGTAAAACCTAGTTGACATTAATCTGTACAATGATATGAGAGTACCAATCAACGGTATTGATGATATTGAGGAGGTATTGACTGGGTGACTGGCATCATGGAACCCACTGGAATGGAGCTGTGATCTGATAGTGGTATCCCTAGAGCTGAAACAGGCAGATAGCCCTCTGGGAACCCAACTTATCGGTGTGAATGTGAGCCGGGAGAAGGATCTCCCAAGTCTAAAAGGCTACAATTGTAATAATATCTGGAATATTTTTAGGGCTTGAAAGTTTGCAATGTACTTTCTAAACATTCTCTCATTTGAGTCTTCTAATGACAAAGTAAGCTGTAAGGCACTATTATCTTCATTTCAAAGATGAAGAAACAGGATTAGAGAGATGCTGTGTGCTTGAAGGTAAGACCTTGTCTGAGATCACCCAGTTAGCAGCTAGCCCTAGAAGGAGTCAAAATGCTGATCTTGCCTTCAAGCCCAGCTCCATTCGCTTTGCTACAGTCCATTTGCTGTGAGGACTGCATGCTGCCCTTATACCATGCAGGCTTTTACTGGCACCGGTCAGAGGGTGCCATGTGTGGGGGAGAAAAGAGGGAGAAGAGAGGAGCTTGGAGAAAGAAAAGGTGAGAGGAATCAGAGGAAAAACGAGCATGTGAGCACTTGAAAGGGGGGAGAACGAAGACTGATTGGTTCAAAAGGAAACTACAGCCAAACAAGGACTATTGGTCTGACAGGTGCTGACAGGAAAGGAGACCAGGATGCCAGACCTGGTGAGTGAGTTTTGTGTTATGTGATGATAACATCTGATTGTACATCTTATTATAGTCTTGGTTCTTTTTGGTGCTGTATATGGAGGTGCTTAAGCCCTTTTAGGAACTCCAAGCCAATTCCTTCCTGTCTCTCCAGGGCTAGAGGGGCAGGATGGTAGAGGCTAGAGCAGGCAGCTTAGCTGGCAGCATCTGGGAAGGTGGAGAAGAGTCAGGGCCATTGGCAGGACTGAGGGAAGAGCTCCTGTCAATGTCTGGTGAGGGAGCATGCCTCAGAGGATGGTGTCTTCCCCTGAACTCTTATAGTCCCACCCTTGGGAGCAGCCCAGGAAGGTGTGGAGGCAACTTGGAGATATATTCACTGAGTGGGCAGGACGGGCTGGCTCTTTCTCCCTCTGACACAGCCAGCTTCTCCTTGGAAACAGTGGCTAAGAATTCGTGCTCCTCAGCTTTGTTCTTGACTTTGGGGCTTCCATGGCTGATTTTGCAGGTCACCTGTTTCCTGGGCTGGTTTTGGTTTTCTTTGGACTCTACTATGCTGTACTGGTATCGTTGGCCATCCTGAGGGGGCAGCGGCTCCTGATTCCACCACTTCCTCCCCGGGATAAGAGACCACGGGGCTGGCTGCAGCAGCTCCCCATTGAGGGTTTGATCAAGGTTGTTGTCTGTATCCCTGGCATGGTGGGTGCTTTGTTCTATCCATTAGGCTCAAACAGGCTTGCTATTATAGATTGGGAAGACCCTGAGAGGAAATTCTTGCATCACAACACCTGGCAACACGTGACCATATACAGCTTCGTTCTCGTCAGTGGTCTGGTGGACATAGTGAGTCGGAGCTGGCTGGCCAGGCAGCAGGTGAAGCTGGAGCAGGTTGCCTTGGCCTTGGCCTTCCAAGGAACTGCCCTGATCCTGCTCTCCCACACCGAGGGCAAGAATGTCCTGGAAGCCCGTGCCCACCTCCTGCTGGTGTTGCCATTCATGCTGATGGCTATGGTGCTGACCATTGAACTCTGGTTCCCTGACCAGCCTGTGCTTTGGGTGTTCAAGGTCTGGATGTTCCTCTTGTCTGGCTCCTGGTTTGCCCACCTGGGGAGCATGATCTTCCATCCTATTACTGGCCATCCTTGGAGGGCAGATAAACCTGGAGATGTCATGTTCCTCACCACCTTCTTCTGCTGGCACCTGATCCTGGATGCTCTGCTGATAGCTGGCATCTATGGGCTGTGCAGCCTCTGGCACCAACGGTATCCACCTCAGCAGGGGGGCAAAGAGTGCTGAGTACCAGCTGTGCCCCACAGATCCCAGCACTGAAGAGCTAAAGAAGCTGCTGGTTGAGATGAATCAGGAGAATGGTAGGATCTAGGGTGTGAGACAGTTACATGCTGTGCCTTTTCTCCATCAGGGATTGAGTATTCCTAGAATATTCACTTGGTACAGAGCATGGCAGAGAACCTTTCTCCAGCCAAGAAGGATGTTTTTTCTTCAATAAAAAGGACAGCCCTGATCTAAACTTCTCACTTTGCCTGTCTTTATGTGAGTGCAGTTTCTTGACTTTCTCATGGAGATTTCTGAAAACGGGGTGACTAAGGAGGAGGGGTTAGGACTGCCCTCTGACAGCTTGAGCAGAAGGTGGCAGGGGTGGCTTCCCCAAGGCAGAGGAGAACAGGCTGCAAAGTCCATCTCTCCCACTTTACTGCCTGTGTGACCCTGGGTAAGTCACTTAGCTTCTCTAAGACCCAGTTTCTTTAGCTTTAAAATGGAGCTCACTCTCATAGGACCTATTGCTCAAGGTGGATGAGAGGCTCAAATGAGGGGACTTGTGTAGAGTGCTTTGCAGATGTCAAAGCCCCATAGAAGAGTGTACTATCATCACTATGGATTGATGGGCACAAGTGGGGCCTGGTGCTCTGGGGGCCCTTGCACAGGGGCCTTTCCTCACTAGAGGGAAAGGGGAGTGCAGTCCCTGGGAGTTGGCACACAAGGGAGGTAAGAAATTTTTCTCCCTGACAGCATTAACATGATGAGCAATTGTTTATCTTTATAGTCCGGATGTGCAAGAGGATCCACCTCTCTATGTGATGAGTGACATCCCCTTGACCAGGCTCCTCTTCCCCTGAGTCCCTTCTCCTTGGAGGTCTGCCCGTTTGCTGGCCTCCACAAGCCAAGCGTTCCCTGGCTTGCCCATGTTCTATCCACAGCCTGTACTCTTTTTCTCAGTGGGTTCAGTGGTTGCCAGGGAAGAGTTAAGGCAGGGAGATTCAGAAAAGAGAAAAGACAAGCAGGAAATGAGGAAGGTGGGAGAGAGAAAAAA